ATTTATTTATTTATTTATTTATTTATTTATTTATTTATTTATTTATTTATTTATTTATTTATTCATTCATTCATTTATCTATCTATCTATTTATTTATTTATTTTGTGTGTGTGCGCGCATGCGCGCTCGCGCACGGCACATGTGAAGGTCACATTGTGAAAGTCATTCTCTTTCCACCACATAGTTTCTGGGTATAGACATAGGTTGGTCGTTAGGCTTGGTGGCAAAGCACCTTTTTCTTTTGTTCCATCTCACTGGCCTCAGGATAAGGATTAAGAAGCAGAAAGTGATTTGATTCCCCTGCATGACAAAAGTGATCAACAGAAGAAAGCAGAACAGGAACACAGGTTCAGCAGAGAGAAGAAGGAGAAGAAAACCGAAAGGTTCAGGACGCTGAGCTGGCTGAGGCTGCTCTAGGCTACAGCAGGGGACAGTCGTAGTCCCACGAATGCCCGATGTCCTGCCTGAGAATGGAGGACACTCCGTGGGATGCGGGCGCTGCAGCCTGCGAAGGAGGGCAGCTGTGTCTGCTCCCCAGGATTTTACAGAGCTGGTGTTGGCAGCTGGAGTTGTCCTGGGCGCTGGGCTACAGCAGGGAGCAGAGCCGTTCACAGGCTCCAACCCCAGAGGAGGAGACAGGCAGAGGGGGACTGTTGTTTGTGATGGCGTCACCCACTCTGCCATACTGACTGGACGACAGCAGTCAAACCAGCATGCCGGAGTAGCCCAAAGCAACAGTAGGCAGCTGTGTTTGCTCCCTTGCCTTCTGCCACCGCTGATTGGTCCAGAGGAAGAAAACAACCTAACACTGAGGCTAGACCAGTCGGCTTCCTTTGCTAGTCTGGGGTAGGATGCTCAGAGCTGAGTGTCAGCTGTCAGCTCAGTCTTAGAGCTGGCAGGGCTTGTAGCTGGAGCCAGGCTGCCCTCGCCACCTTTACAGTGTGGCTAGAATGGTCCCAGCCCTCCACTCCTTCTCCAGACCATGGTCAAGCTGGATGAGGAAGGAGCTTTAGCCCCAGTCCACGGCACGGCCTCCCAGGCAGCCAGCGCCGGGATGACGTGGCCCTAAACCATGCTGTGGACCACAGACCCCATGCCATCCCCATGGGCTTTCTTTCTGCCCTTAATCCTTCTCCTCAGACTGTGTAACAAAAAGCAGACCTCTGTTGGGGCCAGCCATGCACAATGGGCCAGGAGAATGCAAGCCTGGGATTTTACCACATGAAGGTCCTGCCGGCCTCTCACTTTTCCTCTCCCCCGTCAGCCACCATTAGCTGGACAGCCTTCTTCCCCATGGCCTGGCTCACTCACCCTCCTTGGACCCTGCATCCAGCCTGGCTCCAACCTCTTATTTTGGATCTTGGACCACATCTTGGCTATGTTCCTGCTAGCATCCTGGGGCCTCCAAGGCAAGACATACGGATCTGTGGTTAGCAGCCCTCCAGCCCCACAGTTTGGCTTTTCCCCTCCTGCTCCTCAGAGTCAGGCTTCAGCAGGAGTAGCTTCTGGTGGTAGGAGAAACAGGGCTGGCTTGGGTGCAAATCTGGACATTGCCACTATGTAACACTCATTCCCTGCTCTGCCTGCTCACCCTGCTCAGCCTTGACTCCGAATGCATGCGAGAAGGGCCCCAGCATGTCAGCGGTACGCGAAAGATGGTTTGCTAATTTAACATCAGCAGGAGCTGCGTGCTCAGGATTCCTGCAGAATGGCGAGTGCTGGACTAAGGTCTCTGAGGACTTTTCCCATGTTCTGAGTGACCACCCCCTTCTCAGGGCTGGTGCTCCTCATCTGTCACTTCATGGAAGCTTGGGACCTAGAGATGGCCTGACCCAATGATTCATGGTTCTCAGGATGTCTCAGGTTCCTCAGTAAAGGCAATCATTAGGACTCTTGAGCCTCTGTCTACACCTCATGACGCTCAGATACACAGAGTTCTGCTGATTTGTTTTCTGGGTTGGGATTCTACAGTTCTGTTCTTATTTCTGCTCAGAAAATAAAGGGTTCCCCTCATCCGATCTATCTGTCAGAGGTGGACACGTAGCACTGGAGAACTGACTGTATCAGGTGTGCCAGCTGGTGGGTGATGGGCCGCAGCTAGAGTAGACCTCAGGCCTAGCGGTGGCATGCTCTTATCTGAACAGGTTTGGGAGATGGTAAAAGCCACGGACAGACAGTTATTCCCCTGGGAACCAACCAACCTGCAGGGAAGGCCTTCCAGCATTCCAGCACCAGTCAGCAGGAGAGGCTGACTCTGACCTCAGGGCGTGTGACTCTGGGGCTCATGACATCAGCACCAGTGCAACAGAGTTTAGTGGAGGTGGAGAGAAAGGGGGCAGCAGATACTTTGGGGAGAGCTAGTCTTGGGTCCAAATCTGGCTTCATTGAATTCAATAAACAATGGCTGGGCAGTATGGGTATGATGTCCCATTGTGGGCAGCTACAACAATTGAGAGAATGTTCTGTGAGTGTTAGCATCCAGCTCCAGGATGAATGGATGTTGCCGATACATGTTTGTTTGTTTCTTTTTCAGGAGTGACCTGCCACAGGCTAGACCGTGGACACTGCTGTGGGTCTCTTCCCAGTCGGGCCTGAGGAGAAAGAAGCTGGGGCCACCAAGAGGCAACCAGCCTCATTTTCTGTCTTCTCCAAGATGCTACCAGATTCTCAGCCCACTTACCACCTCTCAGGGCCATGCAGGACCAGGACAAGGGCACTCTGCCTCCCACTCAGTCTCCTGCTGTCCTCCAGCCATCCAGGGTTACTTCAAATTTTGCCTTCTGCCTGGTGGGGCAGGCTAGTGCCAAAGATTCTCCAGAGATTGTCCAAGGAAACTATGGGATGAAACCCCACAGCTTGAGCTACCATTGCTGCCAGCCAAGTCCACCTCAAGCCAAAGATGGATTAACTTCTGCCAGGAACTCGGAGGAGTGGGCATTTGGGAACCGTCAGCAGCGCTTAGCCCGCTGATCCGTGCCGTCTGTGCAGGGCCCTGAGCTGGCTGGGCACAAGACAAGCCCCCAAGGGCCATGACAGGCAGGCTGGTGGTGGAAGGTGGGGTCTGAGATCCTGGGCCCGTCCCATTAGCTGCCCAGGCCTCCAACCCCATTCCCAATGTTCTTTGGGTCCTGGCTCCTTCTTGGACACCACACCTCCTGAGAGTGGAGGAAAAGGTTCGGTGTGAAGGGGCAATATTGCCCCATACCCAACCCAGGACATGCCTCAAGGCAATCTTTCTGAACGTCTTTGCTCCCAGGGCCTGTCCCACCAGGTACCTCACCAGTGGCCAGACTCAGGCTAGCACACAAAGATAGCACCCTGCTGGAAGGCAGCTGCCTATGGACAGGCCAGGCAGGAGGGCTTAGGGAGGAAGGGACCAGGGAATGAGCCAATGTGGGGGAGGGGCACATTTAAAGCCAAGGCCTGCTCCTGGTGCTGCAGAGGCCAAAGCCGTTCACATCTGTGTGCAACCATCTGCTTCAAATTGAAGTAAAAGCTGCAACATATAAAGGAAGCACTTGTGTGTGTTGAGTGGACGCTGGGGGTGAGCAGGACAGTGGGCAGCCATTGGCTGGGGATTGTGAGGGAGGGCTGGGAGGCCTTTAGACCCAGTGTTGGTGAGGAATCCCCACCGTGGCCTTAGGCTAGACTGTGCTCAGGAAGGCCGGCCCAGGTCATGGGAGAAGTCCACTCTACTTCACCCTTCACTTAACCCCCACCCCAAGTTTTGTGTCACCAGGATCACCATTAATGTCATTTTCTAGATGAGAAAAACAAGTCCCCAGGGCACAGGGCCAGTCGTCAACAGAGACAGTCCTTGACTCAGGATGGGCTGGCTCCCGGCCCTGTGCTCTCAAGTCCTTTCCAGTCCCAGCACAATGTTTTTGGGTGGCCTTGTTAATTTACTTCATGGACCATTCTAGGATAGAGAGAAGAGAGGGGAAGAAAGTACAGTAAGAAACAGGGAAGGACTGTTGGGGTATTAGGGAGAGATTGGGGGAGTCCGATGTTGACCTGAGGTACCCTGATAGTGTGCCCGATACAGTTTTCTCCTCAGTTTCAGTCTGTGTCACACTTCCATGTCCAGACGAGGAGTAACAGAGCCATGGCTGGAGCCGTGCTGGGAGCTGCAGGAGAGCACAGTGTTGGCGCTTGCCTGTGGTCCGAGGCAGGGCCAGGTACAGCCGCTTAGGTGGGACGGGCCTGCTGGGCTTGGAGAGATGACTGTGCTTAGTACTTGCGCTTCTTGCAGAGGACACATGTCAGAGTCCCGGTACCCACATCAGTCATCTCCCAGCAGTCTGTGACGTCAACGTCAGGGGATCTGAGGCCTCTGCGGCACTGTCCTCATGCACGTGCCCCTTCACGGACACAGAATTAAAAAGAAAACAAATCTTTAGAGGGGGGGGGGGGACAGGCATTCTGCAGGCTGCTCGAGCATCTCTGAAATCTAGAGCCTCTACCCAGCTTAATACTGCTCCCATTCTGGCTGGCTGAGCCCCATCCGGAGACCAGCTGCCCTCCACTCTCCATCATGTCCCTGTTTCTTTTTCTGTTGTTTCCCATGGAACAAGTTTCTTTTCTGGAGCCCCGTGCTTTCGACAGTGGAAACAGTTCCTTTCAGTTTTAACTGTCCGAACAGTCTGCCGCCAGGCGTCTGGCCCCCCTGGGAATTCTAGTCCTCTTGAGCCAGACACTGGGGCTGACAGAGAGGTTGGGCTCATCTAGCAGAATGACCTAGGCGAACTCTGCTTCTATCACGGGGCACAACTTCCCTTTCACATACAAATAAAAATACCTCTCCATCCTGTGTCCCAGGAAGTAGATACAGCCCATTCCCATCCCAGATCCCCGACAGTTCTCAGTGGACTAACATCCTGAAATCTCTGCTTTTGCTCTCTTGGGTCAGCTGCCTGTGGCCTCTTCTTCAGCTGCCTCTCCTGGCATTTGCTTCTCCGTCACGTCCCTGAAACGGGGCCCATACAAGGCAGCGGTGTGGAGAGTATTTTGTTGTTTGTTTACAGCATTTACGAATCACGGTGAGCGGGGAGCCCTGACCCCCCATTTATGGAGCTCTGCTCATCACATTTCCAGCACTTGTAATTACCCCTGACGCTGCATTTCTGGGCTCTGACTAACCGTAAGGTCGTCCCACAGCTGCAGCTGGAACTTGGTCTTTTTCTTTATTCTGATGTCCCAGACCCCAGAACACAGAGCTATAATGTATGGTGGCCAATGGATGGGTCGTGAGGCAGGAGGCTAGCCAGCATGAGTGAGGGCCAGGAGGATTGAGGGTCCCTCTGGATCGGCCACATTCCCACCCCCAGGTACCCCACACCGAGGACTGTCCAAGAGGCAGCGGACGGACCACAGAGCGAAGGGAAAGAGGACAAAGAACGCCCCCTCCCCGACAGGCAAGATCAGCCAAGACCATGCCCTCAGCCATCTTCAAAGCCATCTGGCCCACAGACAGCATGCCTTCAAACAGACGTTCCCAGAAACCCCCCTTCTGTACACACACGGGCTCATAACGTGCCACAGGCACTGTGTGTGTCCTGTTTGTACCCATGCGTGTGTATGTATACACAGTATATGTGCGCATGTATGTGCATGTGTGTGGGCACGCCTAAGGAGAGTTGCGTGTTCTCATGAATCACTGTCCACCTTGTTTCTTTGATGTGGGACCTCCCAGTGAACCTGGACCTTTCAGCCCATGTCTTCCTGCCTGCCCCACTCAGTGCTGGGGTTTCAGGCATGCCAGACCATGCCCAGCATTTTTATAAGGGTGCTAGAGTCCAAATTCCAGCCGTCATGCTTACCCAGTAAGTGTTCCTGACCGCTAAGCCATATCTCAAGCCACCTTCCTGGAAATAATAAAGGCCTGGAGTGTGGGGGTGAGCTCGGTTGGCAGAGGGCTTGCCTGGCATGCGTGATGCCTGCGGTTCAGTCTCCCAGCACTCATAACCCTGACCAGGTAGCTCTCCGGAGGAGGAGGAGAGAGGATCAGAAGTCAAGCCCATCCTTGGCTGTGCAGTGAGTTAGAGACAAGCCTGGCTCCCTGAGCCACGCACACAACACGCTTCCAGTGTTCAGGTGCAGCTGTCTCCATGTCTCCTTTTGAACACCTAGAGTAACAATGCGGGGCCTTATTTTCAGAATAAAGCTCGGCACCCAGGTTCCACAAAGATCTGAGTGCCTGTTCAGGGGGCTGAGAAAATGCCTGGGAAGCCAACTACTGTGATTTGGCAAACAGTACTAAGATGACTTTGGCGAGGCCTTTTAAGACTGTGGGGCTCACTGGTCAGATCCCCTGGGAGCACAGCACAGTGCATCCTATTTACACAAGCTCTGACAAGCCCCTCAGTGGAAACCTTTGACTGAACACAGTGCCACTCAAGCTTATGTAACAGGTGTGTTTTCCACAGACAAATCCTCCTGTGAGGCTGGGGGCGCCGCCCAGTGGGTAGAGTTCTTGCCTAGCATGCTTGTCTTCAGATCCCATAGGACACTCAGTACTGCTGGTCCTCGAAGTGCCATCTGCTGTGATCTCTCAGGGGTCCCTTCCTGGGCTTGGGGCAGAGGGGCAAGACCCAGGAGCCAAGCCTGAGGAACCAGTTGGCCAGGAGGTTGCTTCTTCCTCCTGAGTCGAGAGCTTCAGCTGCCTTGATGATTCTCCCTGTGGGCACCTCTCCCGTTGACCCCTTTAGTGAGCGCATACCAGCTGGCTAGCAGGCTGCGAGTAC